AAAAATGCTTAAAATATTTAGTATAAATCTATGACTAAAATATATTTGCAACAATCTACTTACAAACATAAAAGGATACAAGTAAAGGATTCCATTCCATTGACTTAAGGTGATATAATTTTTGTTTATATCACTTTGATTGAAGAAAAAAAACAAATCCTATTAAGTTATACTTTAAGAAAAAAATATGTCTTGTTCCAAAATTACTTAAATATTTATATTAAATGTCTGATTTTAGAGAACACAATCAAATTTGCCAAAAAAAAACGAAACTTGCTTTCTGTGTGCATTTTAAGTTTTATAAGTTTGCTTTCTTTTGTGTGGAACAGATAAGTTATCTATTGGTCTGTTGCAGAACTGCAAGAATGATATCGAAAAAAATTTTAAAAGTAGTATTTTCTTGCAGCTTCTGGAACAGAGCATATACAGGGTGAGATGGAAAATACTACAACCAACTTCAGACTGCTGTCAATATTTCTAAGCCTCTCGTTCGACAGCTGCTAAAATTATTCCAGTGACACCTCATTAGATTGTTTACAAGCGTACAAAAGCATTTTGGTGAGAATTTTCCCGGAAAAAAGTTATTCGTGATGGAATTCAAGCGTGATAGTGTGATTTCTTTATATTTGGCTGGAAAACCAACCACAACTGGCTATCGTTAGAGCACTCCAGCATTAAAATGTAAATAAATCATTTGTGTTTCGTACCATCGCTCGTTACCGTGATACTGGTAGCGGGTAGCGTAGCCCGATGTAAAGGAAGTGGACGGAAGAAAACATCAACATCAGCAGAAATGGTTCGAAAAGTAAAGAAGCGACTTGATCGAAATCCACCCGCGTCGCAGTGGCCGAAAAATGACTCGTGAGCTGAACATATTGCAATATTCCATTCGGCAAATATTGGAAAATGAGCTAGGGGCAAAGCCTATGAAATTTCAAAAAGTGCAAGAACTTCACCGCAACAGAAAGAAAATAGACTCAACAGAGCTAAAGAGTTGCATCGCTTCGCTTGGCCGAAAGTGGTGAACTGGGTAATTTGGTTTTCTCCGATGAGAAAACATTCGTTATCCAGCTATTTGTAAACAAACAAAATGATCCGCTCGTGTTTACTTGCCAAAGAGGTCAGGTCAGCTGAAAATGTACACCATCGGTTGGCCACCAGAACTCAAGCGCCGGCCATGGTAATGGTGTGGGCCGAAATAACAGCTGATGGTCGCTCTCCGCTCGTATTAATCGACCATGGCATTAGAATAAATGCCGAATATTATCGCGAAAATATTCTGGAGAGTGTACTAAAGCCTTGAGCACGCAAACATTTTGGCCGCAGACCTTGGACATTACAAAAGGACTCAGCACCATTGCACTCAGCACGCGCCACCCAAGAATGGTTACAAAATGAGGTTACTCGCTTCATTTCCAGCGCACAATGTCCAACGAAATCTCCGGATATCAATCCGTTGGACTATTGTGTGTGGAGTATTTTGGAAAGCAAGGTTGGAACTAAAAAATACCAAAGTGTCGATCACCTCAAGCAAGCGCTTCCGCGGGGAATGAGCCAAAATTCCGCAGAGCAACATTCGGGCAGCGTGTGACGGTTTCATTGGCCGTTTGAAGGCCATATTTCGTACCAAAGGTGACCAATTCGAACAAATCTAGACTTATTCTAAAATTTGATGATATTTCCGACATTTTTTGCTTTCATTCAAAAAAAATTATTTAAAAAAAATATGTAAAAATTATGGCGTTTGACTTTGTTGCAGTTTTTTTCATCTCACCCTGTATTTTAGTATTAATTACACAGCAATTTCAATGATCTCTCTCCTTATGAATAAAAATTAAACCCATGAAATTTGTTTGCAATGGGTTCAAAAAATAAAATTTTTGTAAAATGTTTTGTGTTCCTTTTGGATTTTGAAATAAAATTACAATTTAATGAAACGATTTTATTTAAATCCATTTGTTATTTATTTAAATTCTTAACTTACATATTTAATCCGAAAGAAATACAAAACAATTTATTTAAAACAATTACATATATCAAAAGCAAACAAACTATCTCTCTAATAAAAATAAGCTATATTTTAAAATTTTAAGATCTACAACAAGAAACAGCAATTTACTACTATCAAAAATGAATTAATAAAAACAAATCGCAATATTGATAAGTAATGCAGTCAGTGTCTTTTATTGAAATTTTGAAAATATAAGCTCCTTATATAAATGGTAACCTGAATACAAACAGTCGAAGTATGATTTTGAAATTTATCAAGAGGAGTGTAACTCCGTTTCATTCAGAAACCTTTCTAGGCAAATGTTTGATATTTTGGTAAGATCATTGACATGTAGATGGCGCTGGACAGTTTTTTTTTTTTAAATTTCTTACCATAAATTATTTAAATGTCGCACCAGGTACTAAAAAATATAGTCAAACTGTTGACCCTCCATGGGGGAAGTTCCGAAGCAGTTAGACAATATTTACCAATTTGTATCTGACCTAAGACTGATAAAAAATATTACAACATGCCAGATTTGGACAATATCGACTACTTCCTATACTTTATATGAGGTATGAGCAAATTTTTGGAAAATGAGAAAATTATGCGTGAGGTAACAGATATAGCAGACCGAAGTATTCTATTTTCACCCTTCATCTAATTGAGATAAAAATATTGGTATGTGCAAAATTTGAAGGAAAACGAACATTTATATCCAATTTTATGCGAAATCATAAATTCCATATTAATCTCTGGTTTCAGGTTGAGAGAAATATTTAGCTATAGCAAGATGTAAAGAATCGCCGACTTGTTCCGCAAGTTATTACAGATAAAAGTATTGGAAATTCCTACCCTTTGTGGGTGCGGTAATAGAAGGGGTTGGCAGATATATATAATTTTAACACCAGACTTTGGGTTAATAAAAATCTTGATGCTTTTTTCGGATTTTATGATTGTTTTGGTTATTCAAAATGTTAATCCTTTGTGGGGGAGGTACCAAAAGGAATGGTCTGATCTCTACCATCTTTATAACAGATTTTGTGCTGATGGAAATATTGGCATGTGCCAAGTCTGAATGGAAATAGATGTTAATTTCGTGTTTTATGACCTTCATAAATATTCAAAATTTTAACCCTTTGTTGGGGAGGTACCAGAAGTAGTAGACCGATATATTCCATCTTCGCATCAAATGTGGTTTTTGAAGAAATATTGAAATGTTCGAAATTTGAAAACAATTGGACACTTACATCACATTTTATAAGAGTTATAATTATTCAAAATGTTGGACCTTTGTGTGGGAGGTACTGGATGGAGTGGGCCGAGGTTGTCCATTTTCGCACCTGGCCTAGCTCTGATGCAAATATTACGATTCGCAAAGTTGGAGCAAAATCGGATAATGATCTAACTTTATGTGCAGTAAATTATTTATTTTATTTTTTTTTTTTTTTTTTTTTTTTTTTTTGAAAATGTTGACATTTTTGTGGGAGGTACCAGAAGGAGTAGCTCAATATTGCCCATCTCCGAACTCGATCTAAGTTTGACAATAATATTACGATGTACCAAGTTTGGATCAAATCGGATACTTCCTTCGAAAGTTATCGTTGCGCACCAGCCAGGCAGACAGACGGACGGACATCGCTAGATCGACTCCAAATGTCCTGAAACGTGTCCAAATACGTTTCAGGACATTTGGAGTCGATCTAGCGATGTCCGGGACACCTAGGGTATAAAACCGTTATTTTAATGAGGCACTTTTTGGCGGTATTATATAACCTTTAATTTTTTGTCAAGCCACCTGTCCAGCCAACAGGGTCGTAACTGCAATTGCAGGATTTTCCGGCAGAGGTTTCGGCAAACAGAAATGCCGCTACGTTGCTTAAGAACTTTTTATTTCATTCCATTTTCGGAATTTTGAAACGTATTTCTCAACAAAAAGTCTCCAAACAAATCAGCGATGATTTTATATGTCGTGTTCTCAATGGATTATTTAGTTCCTCACAATAAATATTCAATTTGTTTTTTTAGAAATACGATTTAATTCTGCAATCGAATCTTAAGAACTGAAAAAATGAAAAACAAATTCTTTATTCCAAAGGTTCTTTCAATTCAATAGAAACACAAAATTCACCCAGTTTCTTTAGAGAATGTGAATAGGGGAGTGGCTTTTGTGTAGTTTCAGGTGTCTATGTTCAACATTTTTTGGAGTTGGATTTTTAAAGCATTTTCAAATAATATAATAATGTGGATAATGAATCGAATGCTTCTAGACCGAGGAAAGACAATCTATAAAATATTGAAAATATTCAGTGCAAAAAATACCATGCATCAGCAGCATGGAGAAAGTGCTTCTTTCTCTTTTCTCCTTGTTGTTCAAAAGTTAAAATTTGAACTTATTCCCAACTATATAGGCTGACATATTGGAGTCTGAGATCAAACTCTCTCTCAGTAAAATTCCCCTCTATTTCCCCTCCATCAAAATAAAGAAAACACCTTGCCACTTTTTACATATAACATTTCATATTATTTATTTCATTTCGTATTAACATTTTTTGTTCGATATAAAACTTAAACTCGTACTTTTATTTACAACTAATAGACAAGGGGTGGGCTGGGGAGGAGTAGGAGGATAAGGACTGTACAATAAATATTAATATAATTTAGGTTTCTTTACACAATATACATGCAAAATTGTTCTGCTTTTGAGATGGACAAAATTATACTTGCACAAACAAAATGGAAAGAAAGAAGTTTAGAATCATCATCACCTCGATTAGAAAAGAAATTGTGTCGTTCGTTATGTTTTTTACAAAATTTTTCGAATATCGTTAGAGTTTTTTCTGGATGGGGATTGCATTTTGTTGATGATGACAGTGGTGGGTGGTGAAACGCACGCAGCATCAGCAAAACTTCAATTAGGCTAAAAATAAAATAGAAAATCACGCAAAAAAGCTATAAAACAAAACTAAAAAAAAGGGTATTACAAGCAAAAAAAAAAAAAGATTTGAGGTTATTAAATGGGTAGAGTTTTATTTATTTGTTATTAAAAATTAGTTTTTTTTTTTTTTTAAATCGTGCATTGCAGAGAAAACAATTCATTCAATATGAATGATGATCGTAGATTTGGTTATTTGTTGGTCGTTCAACTCGTTACAAACTAAAATTAAGGGCATGAGTCGTATTATGGTGTATGTGTGTGAGTACGTGGGTGTGTGTGTGGCATTAAATTTAAGTAGTAATAATTAATAATACATGGAACAAACTTAAAATTATATGGCATTTGGAGAAGGATATTAAATGTAAGTCTTGTGTTGGTTGGTGGTTTCTGGTTACCAGCAGGATTAGGAAAGTTCGTTGCATTCGTTTTGTTTTTTGTTTTACATATATACTCATCTAAAAATAACTAACTACATTATTGAAAGTAATGACATTGAGAAAATAAATTAAGTTTTTTTATATAAAAATACAAATTAAAATTAAACAAAACAAGTGTCTTTAATGGGTGTGTGTGTGTGTTTGTGTGTGATAGTGTTTATGGCATTATTTGATGACAACTAACGATCGATGTTCTTCCATGGCCAAAATAACAAATCGTCGTTACAATTCATTTTCCATATTGGAACGAACATTCTTGAGGACATTGTGCGTTTTGAGTATTTGATTTTTAATGTCTTTTTCGATTTGTGCTTTGCGCTGGTTAGCATTGCGCAATTTCTCATAGGTGTCTTCGAAGGCACGTTTTGTGCGCAACAATTTGCGACGCAATTCAGCGTTCTCTTGCTCTACCTTGGCACAATCGTGTTTCTTAAAGGCGAGATTTTCTTGTCCAACTGCACTGGATGACGACGCAGCTGCATTGGGTGGTAAATTAGATGGTTTGATATTTTCCAAACTGGAATCCAAAGGTTCTGGAAAGAAAAAATAATAGGTTATTATTAAGAAAAGATTTCCGGGTATCAATAATGTATATTTCATCAAGAAGTTATAGAAGTAGTTAGTCTACAAAAACATCTGTTATTACCACGGAAGCAAATCAAAAATCCTAATTGGAAGATTAACAAGTAAAATAGTATCAATCGGTTTTGCCGACAGATATATATCCCCCGTCCTTGAGTTATGAATATTTAAAACGTTGACCCTATATGGGGGAGGTTCCGAAGCAGTTGAACAATATTGACCAATTCGTTTCTGACCTAAGATCGATAAAAATACTACAACGTGGCAGATTTGGACTATATCAACTACTTCCTATACTTTACATGAGGTATGATCCTTTGTGGCGGAGATACCAGAAGGAGTGGACCAGTATATCCCATCTTCACAGCAGATCTTGTGCTAGTAGAAATAATGGGATGTGTGAAATATGAAGAGAACCAGATAATTATTTCGGATTTTATAATCGTTTTGGTTATTCAGAACTTTGAACCTTTGTGGGGGAGTACCAGAAGATATGGTCCGATCTCTACCATCTTTATAACAGATCTTGTGCTTATGGAAATATTGAGATGTGTCAAGACTGAATGGAATCGGATGTTAATTTCGTGTTTTATGGGCTACATGAATATTCAAAATTTTGACCCTTTGTGGGGGAGGTACCAGAAGGAGTGGACCGATATATTCCATCTTCACACCAGACCTTGGGTTAGTAAAAATATTGTGATGTGTGTAATTTGAAGAAAATCGGATGCTTATTTCGGATTTTATGATCGTTTTGGTTATTCAAAATTTTGACTCCTTGTGGGGAAGGTACCAGAAGGAATGGTCAGATCTGTACTATCTTTATAACAGATGTTGGTTTGAGGGAAATATTAAGATGTACCAAGTCTGAATGGAATCGGATGTTAATTTCGCGTTTTATGAGCTTCGTGAATATTCAAAATTTTGACCCTTTGTGGGGGAGGTACCAGAAGGAGTGGACCGACATATTCCATCTTCATACCAGACCTTGGGTTAGTAAAAATATTGTCATGTGTGTAATTTGAAGAGATTCGGATGCTTATTTTGGATTTTATAATCGTTTTGGTTATTCAAAACTTTAACCCTCTGTGGGGGAGGTACTAGAAGTAATGGTCCGATCTCCACCATCTTTATAACAGATATTGTGTTGATGGAAATTGTGAGATGTGCCAAGTCTGAATGGAATCGGATGTTAATTTCGTGTTTTATGAGTTTCGTGGATATTCAAAATGTTGACCTTTTGTGGAGGAGGTACCAGAAGGAGTGGACCGACATATTCCATGTTCATACCAGACCTTGGGTTAGTAAAAAGATTGTGATGTATGTAAATTGAAGACAATCGGACACTTGCATCACATTTTATAAGAGTTATAATTATTCAAAATTTTGACCCTTTGTGGGGGAGATACTTGATGGAGTGGACCGATATTGTTCATTTTAACACCTGACCTAGCACTGATGCAAATATTAGGATTTGCAAAGTTGGAACAAAATCGGACTATCCTTTCTCTATCTGTGCAGTAAATTATTTTCTTTGAAAATTTTGACATTTTGTGGGGGAGGTACCAGAGGGAGTGGACCGATATATCCCATCTCCGAACTCTATCTAAGTTTGACAATTATATTACGATGTACCAAGTTTGGATCAAATCGGATACTCCCTTGTCGTGCTCACCAGCCAGCCAGACAGACGGACGGACATCGCTAGATCGACTCCAAATGTCCTGAAACGGATTTGGTACAAAGAGACATAGGGTCTAAAACCATTATTTCGACGAGGCACGTTTTGGCCGTATCAAATGATATATAGCCTCTGTAACAAATGTTTAGAAGAGCAAACTTCTGGGATAACAGATCAGTCAGAAGCAACTTCAACTGTTTCTTAGTGTAGAATATCTTCTTTATATATAAGGCCCCTAGGTATATTATGCGAACAAGTCCCCAAATTGTCTTCTATGTTTGACTATTTTAAAGAAGACATTCGGAAGGAATTCTATGAAAACCTCTAAAAGTTTTATTTCTATAAATAATCTACAAAAGCTTCTATGGGAGATCTTCTGGAATTTTTTTGTAGAAGATCATAAAGTCTCATGAAACATTTTCCAGGCTTTCTATATAACATTAAGCCTGGAAAAGGTTTCATGAGACTTTTTAATCTTCTGCAAAAAAATTTCAGAAGATCTCCCATAGAAGCCATCTGAATCTTCCCCTAATAAATGATATTTGAATGAATTATTCATTCCCGAATTAACTATTTATGATATTCCACTCCAAATATTCTTAAAACAAATCTTCATATTTTCCTGTAAAGCAGATGACCCCCACCCCCAAAAGAAAACTTTTTCTTTTCTAGAAAAGTATTTCCCTTCCATTTACAAAACATTGCTACCAACTCACCTTCAGTTACATTTAGATTTTCCTTATTCGGACTAATTTCCACCGTCTTCAAGAGCGGCAATTGCGCATTGCTCAGCTCGGCACTTGATATACGTCCTGCATCACTTTCTATACCCAAGTCGGGTGAATAGTTTTGTGCGTTACGTTGTTCACCCAGACGTTGTTGGGCCACGGTTTGTGCACCGCTTGCCATTGTGAGGGGAACTTCTTCAGATGTATAGCCGGATTGGCAGGTATCATCCGACTTCTTTTCTACATTTCGGCTGGATGTTTGTGCAGCTGCCTCTTCAGCCAGACGCTGGGCCTCGGCCAATCGTTCCATTAGCTGTGATTGTTCACTCTCCAATTGTTGTACTTGCTGTTGTAATTGACTACGTTCCGTTTGATATGCCACCAATTCTTGAGACAATTCCTCGAGACGTTTTTCCAATTGCAATTTTTCATTGAGAGCCTTTACACGTTCTGTGGTGGCCTTGGAGGCTCTCAGGGTGCTCTCATCGATTTGTTTCTGCAAATTTCTGGCCGCCAACTCAGACTCGACCAGTGTTTGTTTCAGTTCATGTTCATTCTCCTGCAGGCATTCTATGTTGCGTTGGGCCTCCATAAAGTGCAGCTGCAATTCGCCCAATTGTTTGCGACACTCATCCACTTCCTGTTGTTTGGCCTGCAATGACTCCTGCAGAATAGTATCCATTTCTTGTCGCAACATGGCCAATTGTTGTTTTTGTTGTTCGTTGGCTTTTTGCATAGCCTCATCGTGTCTCATTTTCATATTTTCCATTTCATCCTTTAGCGAATTAATTTGCATTTCTGCCAAACGTGACTCCATTATCAGGCGTTCATGTTCCTCTTGCATTTTTTCCAGAGAACGAGATTTCTCCTCAATTTGCTGCAATAGCATGGATTCATCGTGGGCAGGGGTGGATGGTTCGTGGGAACCTATAGCTACCAAATCATCATGAAGTTCTTTGTTGCGCATCTTCAGTTCCTCCAATTCTTCGGTGTATTCCTCTACCTTCATTTTCTCTTTGCGCAGCATGTTATCAGCCTCGGCTAATTGATTTTGTATTTCGAGTATGCGATTATCGCGTTGTTGTATTATTTGTTCCAATTGATTGATACGTTCCTGGGTACGGGAAGATTTCATATTGCGGCTATCCAATTGACCGGATTCACTGTAATCACTGTCGGTTTCGGCTTGTTGGGTAGAGGAGGGTTCCTTAGTATTTGGAGGCATTAACGAGGCCGAGTGGTCTTCCAAGCCAATGCGTGCCAGGGAAACCTTACGATCAGGCTCTGACCAGGCTTCCGATTCACTTTCACGATTCTCCAACATGACACTAAGGGGCAGAGACCTCCTCTCCTTTTTGTTTTCAGCATTTCGTCGCTTATCCAATTCCTTTTTCAAGGCCTTATTTTCAGCCTTCAGACTTTCAATGGACGGCTGTTGTTGGCCACTAACACAGCTGACAGCATGTAACTCTTCGTGAGAATTAAATGTTTCATTTGCCAGACCAGCCTCAACATCCCCTAGAATATCTGACAAATTGTGTAACTCAGCCAGCGAGTGGTCAATCATGGAAAGACCGGAAACGGAAAGAGTCATATTTAAGCTCTTCGACAAGTCCAGACTGCGATCGACAGCCCGACGCATTGCCTTACGTTTCTCCACGGCCAAAACACCCAAGACATCTTTGTGCTTCAGCAGGGAATTCAGGAAGCCAGCCAGCTCCTCCAAACGTGTTGACAGTGTGGCACATAAATCTCCACATTGGCGTCGCCATTTTTCGGCATGTTCAGCATCGGCCCGAGCCTGTTTTAGTTCGGTGCGTAATTGTGAAATAACAGCATCGGCATTGCGCTCCGAACCCAAACGTTGTAGTAAAATATCAACTTTACGTTGCAATAGCTTATTGCGTTGCACGGCCTTGGCATATTCCACATCGGAAAAGGATTGCTGCAACTCACCGCCACCACCACCTTCTTGACTTAGGTTGTTGTTACTGGTATTGTTATTCTTCGGGGATGTGGGGCTACCATTTGTGGCGGAATTGTTATTCAAGATTTTGTTGAGACGTTCAATTTCTCGATTTTTCTCCCACAACTCCTTGTTGACGAAGTGCTGGAAAGGATTTAAAGAAGAAAACAAAATGGGTTACTTGGAATTGAAAGTAAAATATGATAGCATATTTGATCATTTTAACCTGGCCATAATATATTTAATTTCTTCAAGGTGCCTCTGTGTTATATTTACCTGCAGATCAGCCGTTTTCTTTTTAATATCTGCCTTCAAGGTTTCAATAACCGTCTCCTGTTCCTGAATAATTGTTTCATATTTTTGTTTTTGGGCCAATGGCATGGCATCCTGTATGGCATCTGAATCACTGAGCGAGGGACAGAAACCGGTAACTTCTAGGCCACTTAAGCCAACGGCACTATTAGCATTCTAAAATGAAAAATAAACAAAGTTTTACGATGTACCTTAAAGTTTCGTTATTTTAACTCACCTCTTTGTCATTATTGGCCGTGTTGTTGTTATTATTGTTATTCGCCGACGAAGACTGACTGGAATTGTGATTCTTGAGACGATTTATTTCAGCCTGCTGATTTTTAATGTGCAACATTAATTTTTGTATGGTAAAACGTGCCTTGTCGTACAGTTGGTCGCGATTGCTCAGTTTATCTTCCAATTCCTGCACCAAACACATTTTATCTGCCACTTCCATTTTACATTTTTGCAAATCCTGTTTTAGCTGTTGAGTCTGTTGTTAAAAAGAGAAGGGGGGATATTTGGATATTTTATGAGTTATTAAAAATTCAATGAAATCTGGAAAATGTTCACCATAACCATCAACCCATTGTGAATGTTGTGCGAAAAATGTGATTTTGAGTGAGCTGTGCTGAAAATGATTAATGGGAGGTAAAATGCAATGGAAGAGAAAAGAAAAATTATCCGTTTACAAGGAATTTTGTACATCGGAGTTATACTTAGAATGAAAAAACTGGGTTTAACACCCAACTACTATTCCATGGAAATTAAGGGCTCAAGACAAGAAAGTAAAACCTTAGAAAGAAATTTGAATCTTACTTGGTCGGAATTCTAGACAGAAATCTTAACGAAATGTCAGATTTTCCACCAACTAGGGGTTAGAATAGTATTCCGAGGTAACATCAGCCATCTTTCGGTCAGCTATCTGATGTTTTCGGGCCGAATTCAATAAGAACAGCCCTCAATCCTCTGATTTTCGTATTAAATGTAATTAAACGAAATGTCAAATTTTCCACCAACTTTGAGATAGAATTTTAGACAGGAATCTTTATGAAATGTCAGATTTTCCACCAACTTTGGGTTAGGAGTATATTTCGAGGTCACGTCAGCCATCTTTTGGTGAGCTATCCAAAAGTGTCTGATGCCTTTCGGACTGAATTTAATTAGAACAGCCGTCAATCCTACGATTTTTCGGATTCAAACTAATTTAACTACTAAATTCCGCCACTTTTTAAGTAAATCAAAATTTCGTCGACCAAATCTACCCAAATTCAGTTGATTTGCCAAAGACATTATTCTACTCAAAATTTAGACAGAAGTCTATACGAGATATTCATTTGAGATCTGAGAAACTTGATCACAATCTTAGACAGAAATCTTTACGAAATGTCAGATTTTCCACCAACTTTGGGTTAGAAGAGTATTCCGAGGTCACGTCAGCCATCTTTCGGTCAGCTATCTGATGCTTTTCGGGTCGAATTCAATTAGAACAGCCCTCAATCCTCCGATTTTTCGGATTTAAATAAATTAAACTAATTAAAATGTCAGATTTTTCACCAACTTTTGGATAGAATTTTATACAGATTTTTTTACGAAGTCAGATTTTCCACCAACTTTGGGTTAGAAGATATATTCCGAGGTCACGTCAGCCATCTTTCAGTGAGCTATCTAAAGTGTCTGACGCTTTTCGGTTCGAATTCAATTAGAACAGTCTTCAATTCTCCAATTTGTATGATCCGAAAAAAAAAACAAAAAAAAAAAAAAAAAAACGAAATTCCGCCACTTTTTTCAGGAAATCAGAATTTCGTCGACCAAATCTACTCAAATTCAGTTTTTTTGCCAATGACAATTAATCCAATCAAAAGTTTGGCTAAAGTCCATACGAGATGTCGACTAAAACTTTTGATTTTACGCGGGACAATTTTGCAACCGTCGATATTACTTGGATAAGAATTTGGCCAGATCTCCAACATCTCTAGTATTCTTCGGGACGAACTCAATACGAACAGTCCTCAAATTCTCTGGTGGTTATGATTCCAGTAAAAAGCATTCCAAGCTCCACAAAGTCTTCTCAAATTTGGATATACTTTGGTTTTGTTTAACCAAATAAATGCCAGTTACCAGAAGCTACTTCTTTTCAGTTCTTTTCTTTTACTAGAATTGTTCGAACTTGTATACCCTCCATCATAGTATGGAGGGTATATTAAGTTTTTCATTCCGTTTGTAATACCTCGAAATATACATTTTAGACCCCACAAAGTATAAATACTCTTGATCAGCATAACATTATATGGCGATTTAGAGATGTCCGTCCGTCCGCCTGTGTAAATTACTCTAGCTTCCGAACAAAATGAAGTAGGTTGATAAAAATTTACTCAAATGTATATTATGTCTGTAGGACTTTTGGTATTGAAAATGGGCCAAGTAGGTCCACGTTTTGGTATAGTCCCCATATAACGGTACCTCCCGATATTCGGTATTTTGGCGATTTAAGCGGCATTATTCCTCAGAATTGTTTCAAATTTGGTATTTGAAGTTCGTAATGGATATTACAGTTTATGACAGAAAATTGTCTGTGCAGGTTCACGTTTTGGTATAGCCCCCATATAAGGGCTCCTCCCTATTTTCGGTATTTTGGTTATTTTAGCGACATTATTGACCGTAATTGTTTCAAATTTGGCATTTGGAGTTCGTAATGAATACTACAGCCTATGATATAGCCCCCATATAACGGAGCTATACGATATTCGATATTTTGGTGATTTTACGACATTATTCACCGGAATTGTTTCAAATTTGGTATTTGAAATTTGTAATGGATACTTCTGTCTCTGACAGAAAATTGTCTATGCAGGTCCACGTCTTCGTATAGCCCCCATATAATGGAACCTCCCGATATTTGGTATTTTGATGATGTTAGCGACATTATTCACCGGAATTGTTTCAAATTACAGCCTATGACAAAAAATTGTCCGTGCAGGTCCACGTTGTGCTATAGCCCCCATAAAATGGTGCATCCCTATATTTTGATGAATTTAGCTACATTATTCACCGATTTTTTTTTCAAGTTTCGCATTTGAATATTGTAATGGCGTATGTCAAAAGTTATTTATGTAGGTCCTTACAGCTTTTTTTCTTGTTTTCTTTTATTTTTACAACACTGTTTGCCATAGAGGCCCACATCAAAGAGGTTTCTTTTATTGTACTCGAACCAATTTTGCAGAGTTTAGAAGGTGGCGAAAGTATGACAACCAAATTTATATCCATAGACTATTTTTTGAAAATCTTATCGGAATTTTTAAATTTTTTGGCATATTTGGCAATAAAATTAATCGTTCGCTATACCAGAAATGATCTACCCCCCCTAAAAATTCATAAAAAATCATTTGATCAAATAGGCCCTAACTCCTTCAACCCCAAATAGACCTTCGGATAACACATTTTTTTCTAGAGGCGACCTTTATGTAAACGAACAAACTGCAATCTCTGCTATTTGGGGATAAATTTGAAATTTCATAACGATTACAAAATATGTTAAATTTATTCAAAATATAAAGAAAAATAAAAAGGATATGACAAAAAGTTACTCAAAATATATACATACATATTTTGTAAGGGGTATTTGAATCAACATGGGAAAATGTTCAAAACAACTGGAAGTTCTTGAGCAAAAAATAAATCCCTCACGGAAAAGATGTGCCAAATTTGGAGTAAAGACAATTCAGACCATCTTGCTGCTGCAGCTGCTGCTGTTCATTATTATTGTTGCTCCATTGAAAACGATTATCATTAAGTTTTGGAATCTTTTAAATACACACACATATATTTGACAATGAATATGAATATTTCATTTCAGCAACTACTCACATTTAACAATGCATTTCTATCCAAATAAAATGTTTTACTCTCGCTACAAAGAAGACATTGCGGTTTCACTGATTTGCTAGAATTTTGATATTGACTAAAGAGACTTGTATCACTTATGGTATACCTTATGGGAATATTTGTTTCCATGAGGCTATCGGAAGGTTCATGGTCATTTTCTTGGCTATTATTTACTTGCCCACAATTATTATTAGTCGCTAGTTTCTTTTGACGACAGCATTCCCGATTGCAGCAAATATTGAAACATAATTTTTGTTGAAAATTAAATGTTTGTTTGTCTACATCTTCTTCCAATCTCTTGGCTGGCCGTCGTGGACAACAATTTGTCTCGAAATTCTTTTGTTTGCTCAAACCCAAATAATTGAATTTAAAATTGAGATTAGGCAGGAAATTATTTTTATGATTCATTAGTTCTTCGTCGTTTTTTCGGGCAGCGCTTAATTTATCGATCATCATTTTAAAAAATTGATTTTCACGTTTTACGATGTTACGTTCGATATTCATTCGTGTTACAATCTGTTCATAATCCTGTATGCGTTCCAATAAACGTTCAGTATTGGCAGTTTTAATGGATATGGTGGTCTTTTTTTTCATAGGGGTTGTGGGATTATGAGATGAGGATGCAGAAACCCGACACATGTGTTTATACCAAGCCATCAATGAAATTGCATGAATGAATGAAGAAGTGATGATGGGTTAGAAATGCAATATTTTTAAAGCAGATGTTTTAATATGATTCAATGAACAAATGAATGTGAAGCTTTAAAGATTTCGGAAACAATTCCCATGGAAAAAAGTGAGACATAAACACGTTTTGACATTGCAAAAGATAGTAGGACACATTCGACGGATTTGAAAAAGAAAGAGTTATTCTACAGAGAGGCAAATATGGCATTTCTTGCCTGAAAAATATCTTCTTCATAGAAGATCTTAAATATATCTTAGAAGATCCTTTATTGCCTACGGAAGGCCCTGACAGACCTTCGCCAGATCAATTTGAATGGATATGTATAAAGGCTTTTTTAAATGACTGCAGGGACAAACAAAAACAAACCACCACCTTAGCCACATATGTAAAGGGTGAGATGAAAAAAAAAACTGCAACTAACTTCAGACTGCTGTCATTTCTAAGCCACTCGTCCGACAGCTGTTAAAATTATTCCAGTGACAGCTTTTTATATTCTTTACAAGCGTACAAAAACATTTTGGTGAGAATTTTCCCGGAAAAAAGTTATTCGTAGTGGAATTCAAGCGTGATGGTGTGATTTCTTTAAAATATTGACTGGAAAACCAACCACAAGTGGCTATCGTTAGAGCACTCCAGCATTTAAACGTGAATAAATATTTTGTGTCTCGTAGCATCGCTCGTTACCTATTACGTGATACTGGTAGCGTAGCCTGACGTCAAGGAAGTGGACGGAAGAAAACAGCAACATTAGCAGAAATGTTTCGAAAAGTAAAGAAGCGACTTGATCGAAATCCGCATCGCAGTGGCCAAAAAATGGTTCGTGAGCAATATTCCATTCGGCAAATATTGAAAAATGAGCTCGGGGTAAAGCCATTGAAATTGAAAAAAGTGCAAGAACTTACACCGCAACCGAAAGAAAATAGACTCAAAAGAGCTAAAGAGTTACTTCGCTTGGCCGAAAGTGGTGAACTGCCAAATTTGGATTTCTCCGATGAGAAAACATTCGTTGTCCAGCAGCAGTTTGTAAACAAACAAAATGATCCGCTGGTGTTTTCTTGCCAAAGAGGTCAGGTGAAAATGTGCACCTTAGGTTGGCCACCAGAACTCAAGCGCCGGCCATGGTAATGGTGTGGGTGTGGGCCGCCATAACAGTCGATAGTCGCTCTTCGCTCGTATTAATCGATCGTGGCATCAGAATAAATGCCGAATATTATCCCCAAAATATTCTGGAGGTTGTATTAAAGCCTTGGGCGCACGCAAACATTTTGGCCGCAGACCTTGGACATTCAAACAGGACTCAGCACCATCGCACTCCGCAAGTGTCACCCAAGAATTGTTACAAAATAAGGTTCCTCACTTCATTTCCAGAGCACAATGGCCACCAATATCTGCGGATACCAATCCGTTAGACTATAGTCTTTGGAGTATTTTGGAGAGCATGGTTGGCACTAAAAAATACTAAAGTGTCGATCACCTTAAGCTAGCGCTTCACCGGAAATGGGCCAAAATAGCGCAGAGCAACATTCGAGCAGCGTGTGACGGCTTTATTGGCCATAATTCGTGCCAAAGGTGACCAATTCGAACAAATCGAAACATATACCAAAATTTGATGCTATTTCCGACATTTTTTGCTTTCATTCAATAAAATTTAAAAAAATGTAAAAATTATGGCGCTTGACTTTGTTGCAGTTTTTTTTTTTATCTCATCCTGTATATACAAATCCCCCCGAACTTTTCACCTGGACACCCAGCACTGCTTCTTGGACTTACTTGCATTTTGGTCAAGGTTTCTTGCTGTTGACGCATTTGACTCTCATATTCTTTAATATTGGACATTTCTTTGCCGAAATTGTCCCGAGTGCTTTGCAATGCTAGGATGAGTTTTTCATTTTCAGATTTAAGTTCAGCATTTGCAGAACGTAGACCTTTTATGGAACGCTTGGAAAAGTTATAAAATTATTTTTTTGGCTTATAAATCAATGGGTTGATGATTATGCTGCCGCAACTCTTTGGAGGAATAACTAATTACCTCTTTCGTGGCCAATTCTAGATCACGATTTTCCACCGATTCCAATAGCTCGGCATTTTGGAAGACCAGTTCCTTGACTTTTTCCTCATACTCCTGGATGGTTTCATCACGCTTGGCCAGAATTTCATCCAGTTTGGTTATTTGCTGTTGGAAATCTTCCAGTTTTTCATCGGATTGTTTCAATAACGATTCCAGATCGCGTATCTAAAAGAATAAGAAATTATTATAAAACTAAATAATTTAAATGTATTTCCAAGGACCCACCCTTTGCAAGGCATTCATGTTTTCATTGATCTCTGAACGTCCCAGTAAATCACTCATCGATTCCGTGTTAGCATGTCCCGACTTTGCCTTTTCCATTTCACCATCCATTTCCATGTACTGTATCTTTTGCTTAAGTTCATCAATCATTTCCTGATATCTCAGCTCGGTGTCCTTTTGTATCTTCTCCATTTGTGTCATGGCCTGTGCGGCTTCTTTCAGAAGATCCTGCTTTTCCTGGATTTCTTTGCGCAAAATTTCCATTTCGACCCGGACATCAATGAGCTGTTTCATTAGGGTCTCCTGGCCCTCGCTGGAATTTGAGGCCTGCTGATAGCCTGGTATACTTTCTTCGATGAAATACAGACGCAATTTTAAATTGAAATTCTCTTTGCGCAATGTGGCCATCTGTTCCTCAAATTCCCTCACAGATCTGCCTTGGCCCGCCGGAGAGGTTGAGCCTTGGAATGGCTGCTGTAGGCTGACACAGGGTGAACGATAGCCCACACCATCTGTAATGAAATAAATAAAAAAGAATCACAATTAATAGATTGCAACGAAGTGGTCAACGAAATGTAAACATTGCACATCTACCCTGAAGTGATACGGGGCGATTATCTGGCCAACCAAATGAGGGCGGCTGTGTCTTTTCAAAATCTTCTAATAAATTATAATCATTTCCGTTGTTGCCTTCTTTATTGCTGCTGCTATTTGTTATTATGCAATTTCTTTGCATTATTTTTTTATTGAAAACAAATCTTTAACGAATTTTCCAGTTGAGCAAATTTCCCGTTGTTTTTATTTTAAATTAAGTTTTTATGAGAATTTTTTTTATTTCAATTTAATTTCAAAATTATTTTCGCTTTACATTTTATTCAAAACTATGTTGTTTTAAGGCACGACAAGTAATGATCAAAGTTTTTTTTTTCTTAGGTTGAACTAAAAAAAGATCCGTGGGGGTGGTGTTGTTTAGTTTAAATGGAAATTAAAAGAAAAAACAAGCAGCAGCACTGCAACAACAACAACAATTATAACACAGACGATGTCTGCCACAAATGAATTTTCAGACATTTCCCCCCAAACACCAGTCAGTCAGCCAGCCACATACAGAATCGGTTTATTAATTAATGTGGCGTTATAGAAGCTGTGCTCTTTTCAAAAGGGAGAGATATTAAAAAATAAAGAGAGAGAGAGAGAGAGAAATGTTAAGAGGAACACGTACATGTACATGTTCTTGTAATACTAAGAGAGCGAGCCATCAAAGAAGTTGATTTTGAGAGAGTTGTTATATTTGATTTGGGAAAGTCAGTGGAATTTGTGAAAATGCAATGAATTTAATGTTCAGGAACTTTGAGGGATATTGAAAAAATATCAAGCCAAGTATTGTGGTTTAATTAGTCGAATTGAGGGTTATATTTGAAGGATGAAATACCAAGGAGGATTTCGTTTAGAAGGGAACCACAGATGAGTTTGACCGGAATGCAAGCTGAAACAGACGTGAACCATACAAAGAGAATTGCTGTCAGCGGATATTGGAAATGTTTTTTTTTTTTTTTTTTTTTTTAAGAAATTTGACTTCTATGGATCAAAATACATGAACATCTGTCCGAAGTGTTGCGCATTTAGGTAAAAACTTTTCTTCACGAGGTAGGCAATTGAGGCTAATTTAATGAATATTAAAAGCACAACTTATTATTTCAGAAGGAGATTGTTATTTGAATCAAAAACATGGTAACACTATTCTATATATTTGCTGACATGAAATTGACCTCGAGTTGGCTAAATAGTCAAAGATCGAGTTCTTATACCCTCCACCATAGAATGGAGGGTATATTAAGTTTGTCATTCCGTTTGTACAACCTCCTAACACTACATTTTAGACCGCACAAAGTAAATATATATTTTTGATCAGCATAAAATTCTATGTCCGTCCGTCCGTGGAAATCACAATGGTTTCCGAACGAAATAAGGTAGGTTGATAAAATTTTACTCCAATGTATATTTTGTCTGCAGGATTTTGGTATTGAAAATGGGACATGCAGGTCCACGTTTTGGTATAGCCTCCTTATAATGGTACCTCCTATTTTGGTGATTTAAGCGACATTATTCACCGGAAATGTTTCAAATTTGGTATTTGAAGTTCGTAATGGATGCTTCAACCTACGACCGAAAATTGTCTGTGCAGGTTCACGTTTTCGTATAGCCCTCATATAACGGTACCTCCCGATATTTCGTATTTTGGTGATTTAAGCGACATTATTCACCGGAATTGTTTCGAATTTGGTATTTGAAGTTTGTATTGGATACTTCAGCCTATGAAAGAAAATTGTCCGTGCAGATCCACGTCTTCGTATAGCCTCCATATAACGGTACCTCCCGATATTCGGTATTTTGACGATTTTAGCGACATTAATCACCGGAATTGTTTGAAATTTGGCATTTGAAGTTCGCAATTGATATTACATCCTATGAAGGAAAATTGTATGTGTAGGTTCACGCCTTCGTATAGCCCCCATATAATGGTACCTCCCGATATTCGGTATTTTGATGATTTTAGCGACAATTTTCACTGGAAATGTTTCAAATTCGGTATTTGAAGTTCGTAATGGATACAACAAACTATGGCAGAAAATTTTCTGTGCAGGTCCATAGCCCCCATATAATGGCACCTTCCTATATTCGGTATTTTAATGATTTTAGCTATATTATTCACCGATTTTTTTTTTCAAGTTTCGCATTTAAATATTGTAATGGCTTATGACAAAAGTTTTGAACTTATCTAAGGCTGCCAAATTTGTAATCGACTCCTGCCTTTCATAAAAAGTTGTAATTTATACAATGAATAGTATTTTTAGGTTATGTATAGCATGGCACAATGAAATTGAAATATTAATGTTATTCTAAAATTTTGTAACCAAGTGTAATTATCTATGTAACTAATCACATTTGCTTTGACTAAAAATTATTAACAAAGTTCAAAACAACAATGAACCCCATCAATGAAAGAAAAACACACATCGGCCCTTTACATGTCGGTCCAATGTGAAAGTCAACACACGTGGTGTTTGTAAGAAAATATGAATATTAAGTGGACATGCGGCAGACAGCCAGCTAGCCAGCATCCATCCATCCATCCATACCCTCCATCATTGTGTTCTTTTACTCAAATTTGCCACTTATGTTATATTTATTTGCCTTACACCCTCATTCGTTTGGAATTTTTTGAGACTTTGCCAACAATTTTTTTTTAGGAAATGACCATGATTTCAGTTCATGTTTTTTAAATTCCACATTTATACTTTGAAATTTATCGATATGTGAATGGAAAGCATTAAAGAATGAGTAAAAAAAAGTAACTGCAGAGAGATGGACAATGAGGTGGGTCAATGTTTTTCTGTATCAAAATTTCAACAAGAAAGAAAAAGTGGTTTGCACAAAATCCATCGACCGAACCCGCTATATACCCAAAATCAACAGATTCCAAGGAATCTTAATTAGAAAATTTCGAAAAAAAAAATGTGGAAGAGGGAAGAATAAGCTTGCATTTATGTTTTAAGGCAGGGTCAAAGCAAGGAAGCCTTATTAAATCCTGGATCTAAAGATTGTACAAAAATATGGGACAATGAAAATGTTTTTTACTCAAAACAATTTGACTCAACCTAATATACAATGTATGACCATCATCGTTAAGATGCCGGCAAATGGAAAACAATTCTATTTGTCATCGTTTTTTTAAATTTTTATATTTTTAAGGGTAGTTCTGAGGTCTTTTTTGAAATAGGAAAATTGCCATAAATGACGATTTAATACCCTACATAACTAGACACATTGGTTGCTTGCAGTTCTATTGCTATTAAAATGGAAAATTAGAAAATGTCTTCAAAATCCATTTCTCTCAAAAAAAAAATTATCATCAAAACCTGATTTTTATACTCTCGGCCATATGGCTAGAGAGGGTAGATATATCATTTGACATGACCAAAAAGTGCCTCATCGAAATAACGGTATTAGACCCTAAGTCTCTTTGAACCAAATCCATTTCAGGACATTTGGAGTCGATCCGTCCATCTGTCTGGCTGAAGTATCCGATTTCATCCAAACTTGGTACATGGTATTATTTTTGTCAAACTTAGATCGAGTTTGGAGATGGACAATATTGGTCCACTCCTTCTGGTACCTCCCCCACAAATACGTTACTTTGAATGCATTTTCTTCATAAAAATAACTTTGGCTTTTTGTGAATTCTCAAAGAAAGCTGCATTTTGAGCATAATTCTCAAAGCTATATTGCAAAAACCTTCAGTCATGGCCTTGTTCTGTTACTAAATTCAAGTCCCCATATTGATTTTGAGATGGCTGCCCTCTGCCTGTTTGAAAACCTCTTTCCCCTGGATACAAAATACAATCAAAAGATAAAATTAAATTTCTCCTTTGCACAGCTGTTTTAAAATACTTACATGGATTGTCCATTGTCACATCTTGTAGAGTACCCGGGCTGGTGCTGGAAAATAATAAGAATACAAAGAAGACCATTAATAACAATCATAATAATACGAATCATGCACAACTGCTCTTCATCAGCAGCATCGTCATCATCAAGATCAAAAACTGTCTGTATGAATAGTAGTCACAATTGAAAAAATTAATTAAATACTTAAATTTTAATTTGATTATGTGCGCGTTTTGCACAGAAAAAGATGGGCTTCTCCTTTTTTCCCCATTTTGGAAGAATAAAAAAATGACCTCATATGGCATTTATTTAAATGACCTCCACAGAGAGAGAGAGTGAAAGAGAGAGACAGAGAGTGAGAGAGAATATGAAGTAATTATTTGATTTATATGTTTTTTGGGGTAAATCATCACGTCACGACTGTGAGGAAGCCCATCGTAGCCCAGCCATTCATGGTCAAAATATGAAGATTTATTTCGCATATTTTTCGACAAAAAAAAATATTATATTGAGGGCCAATAAATATGGAGTTTCATGTATGGAACCATGGTTCTATGTTTTCTTGATTATCCAAACAGTGTTTCAATTCAATTTATTATTAATATTTTTCAAAATCTCTTATGCCACTCTGTAATGTTTTGATTTCCACATGCCCCTCATTACTTATTATGGACTTTCGATTTGTTACCATACCCCACCCCAGCCCAGAACAAACAGCACACATTACGAAAATACACAATTTCCGATTTAAGACCTACCATAAAACTAAAACCAACAAACTTTGGAATAATTAACATGCATTTATATATTTATTGTCGGGTCTGGTTTTTCCATATTCAAAACATCCGCTTAAGGTCAGTGAGAGTGTTTGACCATTTCCTCAACCAAATCCCAATACCAGCAACCAACATGAAATGCAATCGTATGGAATTAATGTACAACAACACTTAAAAGAAAAAGTGAATAAATGGCTCATTTTTGATGAATAGATTTTGGAATGGAAATTGATTTGCGTTAATTATTTTGTAATGACAGTGTTATCTTTCAATTTCTTTCGAATTTATTTTAGAATTTCCATAAATGTGCTGTACACACTACTCATGTCGGAAATTCAAAATAGGCCTCCAATGGTTTGGATTTATTTTTTATGCCCGCCATAACTGTCTGTCTGTCTGTGTGCAACAATACAACTCAACTCACATGGCGATGATGATGATGTTCCTTTGAAAAAATAAGATTCTAAAAATAAATCAAGTTTTGGGAAAACATGAGAGGTGGAAAAACGTGAACGTGAAGCTATTTTTAAAAATCGCATCTCTAACAACCACAAATCTTCTAGCCTGGATAGAGTAATCACATTTGAAGTGAATGATGTTTGGGGTATTTTGAACACTAAAACGCTCGTTAATATTGAAATTAAATAAAAAAATATTATTTCAACTGGGAAATAGGCCATCCATCATCATACTAGAAAAAAATAGGAAATGGAACATAAATTGCAGGGATTTATTTGAATAATTAATATTTGACTCGATGGAAATATAAATTTATGAAGAGAATCAATTACATGGAGGTCATTGATGTCATGTCCAAAGGGGAGTATATATTTTTATAGCCTCCAACATAGTATGGAGGGGTATATTAAGTTTGTCATTCCGTTTGTAACATCTCGAAATAGACATTTTAGGCCTCACAATGTATATATATTCTTGATCAGCATAAAATTCCATGTCCTGTCCTTCTGTGGAAATCACTCTAGCTTCCAAACGAAATGCAGTAGGTTGATAAAATTTTACTCAAATGTATATTATGCCTGCAGGACTTTTGGTATTAAAAATGGGCCATGTAGGTCCACGTTTTGGTATAGCCCTCATATAATGGTATCTCCCTATTTTCGGAATTTCGGTTATTAAAACAACATTATTCACCGGAAATGTATCAAATTTGGTATTTGAGGTTCGTAATGGATACCAAAGCCTAAAACAGAAAATTGTCCGTGCAGGCCCCATATAACGGCACCTCCCGATATTCCGTATTTGGATGATTTTAGCGACATTATTCACCGGAATTGTTTCAAATTTGATATTTGAAGGTCGTAATAGACACTACAGCCTATGACTGAAAACTGTCTATGCAGGTCTTCGTCTTCGTATAGCCCCCGTATAACGTCAGCACCCGATATTTGGTATTTTGATGATTTTAGGAACATTTTTCACCGAAATTGTTTCAAATTTGGTATTTGAAGTTCGTAATGGATACTACAGCCTATTATAGAAAATTGTCTGTGCAGGACCACGCCTTCGTATAGCCCCCATATAATGGTATCTTCCTATTTTCGATATTTTGATGATTTAAGCGACATTATTCACCGGAATCGTTTCAAATTTGGCATTGGAAGTTCGAAATGGATACTACAGCCTAAGACAAACAATTGTCTGTGCAGGTCCACGCCTTCGTATAGTCCCCATGTAACGGTTCCTCCTATTTTCAGTATTTTGGTGATTTAAGCGACATTATTCACCAGAGTTGCTCCAAATTTGGTTTTTGAAGTTCGTAATGGATACTACAGCCTAAGAGAGAAAATTGTCCGTGCAGGTCCACGCCTACGTATAGCTCCCATACAACGGTACCTCCCGATATTCGGTATTTTGATGATTTTAGCGATATTATTCAGCGATTTCTATGGCTAGAAGACCTTCTGAAGCTCTTCTATAGCTAGAAGACCTTCTGAAGCTATTCTATAGCTAGAAGACCTTCTGAAGTCCTTCTATGGCTAGAATACCTTCTGAAGCTCTTTTAAGGTAAGAAGACCTTCTGAAGCTCTTCTATGACTAGAAGATCTACTGAAGCTCTTCTATGGCTATAAGACCTTCTGCTGCTCTTCTATGTCTAGAAGACCTTTTGAAGCTCTTCTATGGCCAGAAGACCTTTTGAAGCTCTTCTATAGCTAGAAGACCTTCTGAAGCTCTTCTGTGGCTAAAAGACTTCTGGAGCTCTTCAATGGCCAGAAGACCTTCTGAAGCTCTTCTGTGGCTAAAAGACCTTCTGTAGCTCTTCTAGGGCCAGAAGACCTTCTGAAGCTCTTCTATAGTAAGAAGACCTTCTGAAGCTCTTCTATAGCTAGAAGACCTTCTGAAGCTCTTCTGGGGCTAAAAGACTTTCTGAAGCTCTTTTGTGACTAAAAGACCTTCTGAAGCTCTTCTCTTCTGTGACTAAAAGACCTTCTGAAGCTCTTCTGTGACTAAAAGACCTTCTGAAGCTCTTCTGTGGCCAGAAGACCTTCTGAAGCTCTTCTATGGATAGTAGACCTTCTATGGCTAGAAGACCTTCTGAAGCTCTTTTAAGGCTAGAAGACCTGCTAAAGTTCTTCTGTGGCTAGAAGATCATTTGAAGCTCTTCTATGACTAGAAGACCTTCTGAAGCCCTTCTATGGCTAGAAGACCTTCTGAAGCTCTTCTATAGTTAGAAGACCTTTTAAAGCTCTTCTTTGGCTAGAAGACCTTTTTCTGTGGCTAGAAGAACTTCTGAAGCTTTTCTATGTCTACAAGACCTTCTGAAGCTCTTCTATAGGTAGAAGACCTTCTGAAGTTCTTTTATGGCTAAAGGACCTTCTGAAGCTCTTCTATGCTCACTTGCAAATGCTTTATTTTTCCATGTTTTGTATTTTTTATGTGGATCCCTATCTCTGCCCTCCATGCGTGTTATAAAAAATCTCTTACGCTCCTGACCATATTTGCCCAACACCCGAATTAATTGTAAACATTTTCTCAAGTATCTGTAACATAATAGCCATGGGTCATTTGGACAAGCACTTGGGTATTGATTAGGGAAAATCAATTTAGAATTTTGTTTACATTCCTTTCCGCTCATTTTAATGAGATACAATTTTGAAAATGGAACTTTAAGAAATTTGCCATTAAAAAAACAACATTTAAATGTGGGGGGAGGGGGAGGTTGGAAATGCAGACACTTGATACTGACCACCAGTGAGCCACCAAACCAAACAAATGACTGTGTCGAGTTGAAAACAAACTAATAATAAAGACCACCTAGGGGGCAGGTGGTCCATGGAGTTTTCGACTGGAATCTTGCAGCACCTTATTATTAATAACAATTGAGAACTTTAATTATTCAAATGAAACCATTGCAAACTTCAATTGAGCGGCGAGCAGCATAAAATCGAAAACGTTTTGTTAATAGAAATTTTCATAAAACAAAAGGTTTGGTGTTTCTTTTTTGTTTTTCTTTTATGGAATTCGATTAGCTGGAGATTTGTTTACAAAGAAAATAAAAAACAAAAAACTAAACCGGTTTTGTTGTCATAATTTGCAATAAATTTCAATAAACTCTGGGTAGTTTTTTTTTGTTTGTTATTCGCTTTGTACTTGAAAGTTGTTTAATTTAAAAAATATTGAAAAAAAAAACTGAAAACACTATTGTTTGCTTATCATCACGCTGTGGCAGCTGTTAAGGCATGGGTGGAGTGGAGGTGGCAGTAGCACCACCGGCAGTGTTGTTGGTCAACACCCCACCCAACCAAGGCAGGCAGCCAGCCAGCCAGCCAAGCATTGATGATGATTTACAATTATTAACATAGTTTATTAGCCAGTGTGCGGAGTCGGACGTTAACAGGGATTTCAATACTTCATTCAAAAAAAAAAAATTTACCAAGAATTATGAATATTTCACGCTCTCAGCAAATTAATTATGCAAAACAACGTCCGACTAACAAGCCAAAGGTGCCAGTGGCAGCAGCACGTGTGTTTACGCTACAAATTTCCATAATCGTGACGCTTTTATTGCTAATCACCCAAAGCAAAGAGGCCCAGACGCGTCGTCTACAACCATGCGAATTTGCAGGTCAATTGTATATCTTGGACGTACCCAAAGAAGAGCTGCCTCTTTGGCTATGCATTGTCCAGTACGAGAGTCGTTTCAACACCCATGTCATTGGGTCACGCAACACGGATGGCTCTCTCGACTATGGGATATTTCAGATAAGCGATAAATACTGGTGTAAACCGCCCAAGGAGCCGCAGTTTCATTACCACAATGAATGCAATGTCGATTGCATGGATCTGATGCAGGATGATATAACAGCAGCGGTGAAGTGTGCCAAAATGATCCGGAAACAGCAGGGTTGGTCCGCCTGGTCGGTGTATGGAGAATTTTGCAATAGCACCAATACCGTGTATCAGGATATTGAAATTGAGGAATGTTTTGGCTAAGGAACTGGGAGATTTTGGAAATGTATTTGTAGCATGTGTATTAGAGTGCAAGGAAAATGTGAATTAAATAAAAGCTAAATTCAAATAAAGAAGTGAGAGAAAAAGTGAAGTGAAAAGAGTAATTTTTAAACAAGAGATAAGAGTTTTAATATAGAGAAGGCGCTCTGAAGCTCTAATGTAGCTAACATCGTATCTGGAAAGAAAAGCTATTTTACAAATAGCACTTCGAGAGATCTGCTCTATACAGAAAAGCTTCCAATATTCGTATAAAACAACAAGATATTCCGAAGCGATTCTATGGGCCTCTAGAAATAGATGACATCCAAAACAGGACTCATCCTTCCTTACAGTTACAGAAAAAAAGCTTTAAAAGCTCTTTTATAAATGGAAGACCTCCTAAAGTATATATAGACGACTTTCAATAGCTTTTGTATACATAGAAGGCCTTCTGAAGCTCTTTTATGACTAAAAGACCTTCAGAAAATCTTTTATGACTAGAAGACCTTCTGAAGCACTTTTATGACTAGAAGACCTTCTGATGATCTTCTATGTCTAGAAGACCTTCTAAGCCTCTTCCATGTCTAGAAGACCTCCTAGGCCTCTTATAGGGCTAGAGGACCCTATGGAGCTCTTCTATGTCTAGAAGACCTTCTAAACCTCTTCTATTCAGACATTACCTTCTAAAGCTCTTCTATACAGAGAAGACCTTCAGAAGCTATTCTATTCAGACATTACCTTCTAAAGCTCTTCTATACAGAGAAGACCTTCAGACGCTCGTCTATACATAGAAGACCTCCTAAAGCTCTTCTATACATAGAAGACCTTCAAAAGCTCTTCTATGCGTAGAAGACCTTTCAAAGCTCTTCTATGGATAGAAGACTTTCCAAAGCTCTTCTATGGATAGAAGAACTTCCAAAGCACTTCTATAGATAGAAGACCTTCTTAAGCTCTTCTATGGCTAGAAGACATTCTAAAGCACTTCTATGGCTAGAAGACATTCTGAAGCTCTGCTATGTCTGAAAGACCTTCTGAATCTCTCCTAGGGATTGAAGACCTTCTCTTCTATAAACAGAAGACCTTCCAAAGCTCTTCTATGGATAGAAGACCTTCCAAAACTCTTCTATGGATAGAAGACCTTCCAAAGCTCTTCTATGGATAGAAGACCTTCTGAAGCTCTTCTATAGATAGAAGATCTTCTGAAGCTATTCTATGGATAGAAGACCTTCTAAAGTTTTTCTATGGATAGAACACCTTCTAAAACTCTCCTATTCATAGAATATCTTCTGAAGCTCTTCTAAACATTCAAGACCTTCTAAAGCTCTTTAAAACACAGGAGACCTTCTGAAGCTCTTTTTAACATAGAAGACCCTGTGAAGCTCTTCTATACATAAAAGACCTTCTGAAGTTCTCCTAAATATAGAAGACCTTCTGAAGCTGTTTTAAAAATATAAGACCTCCCAATACTCTTCTATATACAGAAGATCTCCTAAAGCTCTTCTATATATGGAAGACCTCCTAAAGCTCTTCTATGGATAGAATTACTTCAAAAGCTGTTCTATACATAGAAAACTTTCTGAAGCTCTTCAAACATAGAAGACTTTTTGAAGCTCTGTACAACATAGGCGACGTTCTGAAGCTCTTTTAAACATGGAAGACCTTCTGAAGCACTTCTGAGTATAAAATACCTTCTATTCTTTGCATAGAAGATCTTCAAAAGGCCTTCTATGGATAAAAGAACTCCTGAAGATCGTCAGTAAAATCGTCAGACCTTCCGATGCCCTTCTCTACATGCAATACCCTACGAAGCTCCGTATACTATATACCAACGTATACCATCTGAAGCTTTTCTTTACATAGAAAAAATTCTGAAACTCTTCATAGATGCCACCTTTGAATCCCAATTCTTCCCTCTATCCCTATCTAACGCATTCATTCTACTGCTGGATTTTCTTATGTTTTTCTTCTGTGATCTGTCTTATTTAGATGAAATCATCAGCATCTTCTTTTTCCTTTATAAATAAACATCAGGTCATAACATTAACAAAACAAAAAAAAGTGTCGATTAACGTCTCTTATCAGTGACAGAATAGGAGTGTAGCGTCGCAGCATTGGCATCACTCGACACTCACTCATCGATGCAATTCAAAATAAATTCCAAATTGTTCCAATTAAAGAAGGAGGAGAAGAAGACAAACAGTAATTCAACTTCCCCGTGTCCCGTTGTGAAGTGACTGACCACCATCGAAACAATCGATGGATGAAGTGATGACAAGTGATTGATTTAAAAAGTCCAGTAATTGAGATAATTAAAATGAATTATTAAAAACAAATTGGAAATGGGTTAAATTCATTTTGAATAAAAGGAAAAAGGAAAAAAGAGATAGATTTAAATTTAAATAAAAAATTTAAATATTCTAAATCCATTAAAGGTTTTCTATTTTTTGAAATCTAATTCTAACCACGTGTGTTGTTATAATCATTTGTGTTGTTTATATAATTATAATCGACTGATATGGAGTAAATAAAAGTAATTTATTACATGTTTTGTTCCGTCCTATTTTTTTCTGAAATTATTTATCCAGAATAGGGTATCCCGACAATGGAAAAACTTTAGATGTCCCTTTTCTTTATAAAACTTTAAAAGACTAATTTCTAAGACGAATAAACATTTTTAAACGACTATTTAATGAATTTCCTCAAAGAGAGCATTCCAAAGAGAGAGCATGTGAAAGAGAAAATAACAGTTCTTGATGTTGTTGAGTTTTATTTCTATGCAAATATTGCACGAATATTAGACCCGTTTTCTTTTCTGTTGAATTAAACATAATTCATATGTTTTTTTGATTACATTTTTTCCAAATGAAAATTGGAAAATATTTTTCTCGTGAGTGAGTGTGTGTGTGTGTGATTCCCGTGCAACAATGTAAACATTCCAATTTCAATAATTTTTTTATTTTCAAAAGGGAACATTTGTTGGTCAAGCATTGCAACATTTTTTTGTGTGCCCATTTATAATGAGTGAAATATATTTCCTCGATATAATAGCCAGTGGAAACATTCATAAAGAAATTGGAAACATTCATAAAGAATGTCTTTCAAGAAATTAAAAAAAATAAAAACCAACAACAAATATTTTTTCACAATGAATTTACATAAAATAATCACAGAATTTATTTATTGTTCATTTGTGTGTAAGCACTTCTCTTCCCAGTCCTGGGGCATAAAACTGTCGTAATTTATCATTTGTTCTGCAGACAACTTGTTACTCAAAAGACACCTTCCCCGGTTTGTTTTTTGCAAAGCAAAATAAAAAGGCAAGGAATTTCCACCAGATCTTCTTCTTCTTTTTATTCACACATCTTTATATTTTTTCCCCGTTTTTCATTTTTCAAAAACATTCCTCTATCGAGGGCAAAAGTTTTGCATTCTTACAGCGGCCATTGTACACCGACCAGGCCCGCCATCCCTGTAGCTTTTTCACTTTCTGGGCACATTTGATAGATTCTCTCACATCATCGCCGCTGACCAAATGCTGACAATTAATTTGACACAAATTTGCTGAACTTCTTGATGGCTTCGCCGACGACTGACACCAGTAGCGATCGCTGAACTGAAACAGGCCATAGTCATTGGACCAATTGCCATTCAGGCGGCCAATGGCGGTGGTGTTGTAGCGACTTTCGAACTGGGCAATGCAACACCAGGTGGCAAGTTCGGATTTTGCAACGCCCAAACGGGACATTTCCCTGGCCAAATCACAGCAATTCAAGATGCGACCCTCAGAGAGAGGGGAAAAGACTGTTGTCACTATACAGCAAACAATGTAGGCGATTTTCAAATTCATAATTTCCTCAGCTGCTGTTTTTCTATTCTTGTTACGACAAATTAAATATTCTGACTGAATTCAATAAAATGCCTAAATATTCTTTTGAGATCTGTCAGTCTGGCCTGCCAGCCATAGAAAATTTAAAGTTGAGTGCTGAGAAAACTAGTTTTCTTGTCGCTAGGCTTCGGATTGAGACAACACCCTAAAAACAGCGTTTAAACAAATCATTAGAACAACTTTATTTATGAAGCCATTAACTGAGCTATTTTATGACACAGATTTTTTAAATACAGTGCAGACTTAAGAATTTGAATGGGAATAGGATTTTTGGTAATTTAAAATGAAAAAGTTTGAAATCGAGGGTCTCCACTGTGCGGCAAGCAAAGCAAGCAATCTATAGAATTGTCGTAAAAGAGTTGGAGGTTTTAAACTTATTAAAATCTGGTATGGGCTAAGGAAGATTTTCTGCGGCGAAACTTATCAAGCTTTAATATCTACAGAAGAGCTTTGGAAAAAGTTATGTTATAGACTATTGAATTTATGGAAAAAGGAATACTCTCTCGGGCTCAGCGGATTTCGTCTATGTCGTTTCAGGGATATGAGTGAAAATACTAAAGTCACTTAAAACTAAATTGTTGGAAATATTACAAATTGTGAGACATCTATGAACTGAAAATGATGGATTGGAAGAGAAAACCCGCCTCCTACAAAATGACATCGGGAAATATTCAAATAACTCTCGAATGGACTCTCGAAGAGAGTATCCGATTTGATCCAAACTTGGTATATCGTAATATTATTGTCAAACTTAAATCGAGTTCGAAGATGAGTAATATTGGTCCACTCTCTCTGGCACCTCCCCCACAAAATGCCAATATTTTCAAAGAAAATAATTTACTGCACTGAAAGAGAAGGGATAATCTGATTTTGCTACAACTTTGCAAATCTTAATATTTGCATCAGTCCTAAGTCAGGTGCGAAAATGGACAATATCGGTCAACTCGAACAAGTACCTCCCCCACAAAGGGTCAACATTTGGAAAAATTATAATTTTTATAAAATGTGATGCGAGTGTCCGATTGTCTTCAAATTACACACATCACAATATTTTTATTAACCCAATGTCTGGTGTGAAGTTGGGATACATCGATCCACCGCTTCTGGTATCTCCCCCACAAAGGGTCACAATTTTGAATATTTATGAAGCTCATAAAATACGAAATTAACATCCGATTCCGTTCAGACTTGGTACATCTCAATATTTTCATCAACACAAGATGTGTTATAAATATGGTAGAGATCGGACCATTTCTTCTGGTACTTCCCTCACAAAGGGTCAAAGTTTTGAACAACAAACACGATCATAGAGTCTTAAAAAAAGCATCCGGTTCTCTTCAAATTACACACTTCACAATATTTTTATTAACCTAAGGTCTGGTGTGAAGATGGGATATATCGGTCCACTCCTTCTGATACCTCCCCGACAAAGTGTCAAAATTTTTAATATCCATGAAGTTTATAAAACGCGAAGTTAACATCCGATTCCATTCAGACTTGATACATCCCAATATTTTCATCAACACAAGATCTGTTATAAATATGGTTGAGATCAGAACATTCCTTCTGGTACCTCCCACACAAAGGATCACAATTTTGAATAACCAAAACGATTATAAAATCCGAAATAAGCATCCGGTTCTCTTAAAATTATACACATTACAATATTTGTTTTAATCCAAAGTTTGGTGTGAAGATGGAATATATCGGTCCACTTTTTCTGGTACCTCCCCCACAAAGGGTCACAATTTTGAATATTTAAGAAGCTCATTAAACACGAAATTAACATCATTTTCCAAAAATTTGCACATATCTCATACAAAGTTAGGAAGTAGTCGATATAGTCCAAATCTGGTACGTTATAATATTTATAACAGTCTAAGGTCAGATACGAATTGGTCAATATTGGCCAACAGTTTCGGAAACTCCCATAAAGGGTCGAGAATTTGAATAATCATAACTCAAGGCTGGGGGTATACATCTGTCGGCAAAACCGGCTGATACTATTTAACTTGTTTTAGATAAAGTGGTTTATTTTATTGTTTAAAAATTATTAAATAATTAAAAATGCAACGCCGGGGAAAGTTATTTCAAAAATCTCTTAATCATTTCTCTTTCACTATTTTGCCCATATATGTCGTGTAGATCCACGGATTCTATTTTTCTGTCATATAAACAATTTTCAACAATTATTTCTATAAAAAGGTTTTTAAACTAATTTTAATTACTTTTTTTATTTTTAAATTATTAAATAAGTTGAAATTCGATGAAAGACCGTTGTTTTAAAATTCTCTTTCGTTATTTAGCTCATCTGTGTTGCAAATAACTCTTTAAGCAGCATCTAATGTTATTTCTCTTACACTGCATGTGTGGATCACATGCTCTTCAATGTTGCCTTATCTCTTCTATTTTTCTCACAATAGACATTTCCTGTGTTTCTCTTAATCATTAAATGCCGCATGAAAAGATGAATAATTTACAATATTTGTCTTTCTTTAAAAAAAAGGTTAGTAATGTTAGATAAAAAAATACAATTCTTATCAAAAAAATAATAAAAACAAAAGTGATTCTTACCAAAATGCACTGAACGAAAAGCGTTTATTGGGCGTTGAATCATTGCTGTGATTTGACATGGAATTACTGCGAAATATTCCCGACATGTTTAAGGCATTAATAATTAAAATTAGTTTACTTAGAAAAATTATATAAAATATAATTTTTATTGTTTTTTTGGGGGCGGGCGGGGTGTTTCTTTTTCAGTTTAACTTGATCAGACTTTGGTGTTTAGTGATTTTTGTTCTTTGGTTGTTTTTGGTTTTGGTTCTAAATTTATTGTGCTCAAGTGCAAGAAAAGCAACAGAACTTTTTTTTTTTGATATGCTTCGTTAATTAGCGCTGCTGTAGATCTTCTTCTCTCCTGTTTCTTTTTTTAGGATTTTTCCTTTTAGTGTGTTGATTTTTTTTTTTTTTTTTTTGCTGCTGCTAAGGTCTTCTCTTTTTACGTTTTTTCAAATTTTCAGTTTGAATTTGATTTTTCAATTTAATTAAATTAAGTTGGTGTGGAGCAGGCATATGATGCAGCCTTAGCCGCATGAGTCACACGTTCAGCAGCACCAGCAAAAAGTCGTTGCTGTTGTTTATTGTTGTGTCACCAAAAGGCTTTGGTAGCCGTTGCACCTCGTCGCCGGTTTTTTTTTTCAAGGGACATTTATTGCAGCAGTTGCGTTGCTGATGACACTGCCTGTGGTGTTGATGTACATTTGTGTTTCATCTAGAATTAGGAGTTTTGTAGAAGAACCGAAGAAAAAAAAAACGAAAAAAAGAAAATAAATAAGCAATTGCGAGACATCAAAGACCATTGCCCCAAAATACACAAACGAACATTTGCGAGTGATTATTTTTCCTTTTTTTCGTTGAAGTTTAGCTATTTTGTGTCAACATCAATTATTTGTTGGCTTCAGAGTTGACAATTTCAATTCACACGGCATCATTTGTGACTAAGCGTTTTTAGCGACCAATAAAAAAAGGTAAACCTTTGCCCGATTCAAATTTTAGTACTGGGAAAAAGAGGCATAATTTTCAATATTTTTGTAGAAACTATTTAAGAATTTTCTGGAAACAAGATCTTAAATGCTCATATGAGCTTATAACAACCTACAACAAGCAGGAGTTCTTCCGCAGAACTGCTTTAACTGGAAGACCCTCTATGGCCCTCTTCCGATACTTCCGATTCCGATTACTTCTCTAAAATTCTTTGTACATTTTACATTGAAAATTCCAAGTTTTGATCCCACTATCCCAAAATGTTGTCGAAATGACCCTCTGGGTACGTCGCTGCTGCTATAGGTATTTTTTTTATTGGAAGACCTCCTACCACCTCCCTATAGATAAAATACAGTCCATAGAGAACGCTAAAAATATCATTTACTATTGCGTAGATGAGTAAAAATTATATCTATTCTAGAGTAGCTGACAAAAGAATCCATCTACTCCAGGGTAGACGACCAAAATTGACATCTACTCAAGATAAAAATTGACATCTACTCTAAAATAGACCAAAAATGACTTCTGCTACCCGGGTTTTTTAATTAAAGTGTCATCTACTAAAGGGTAGATGACCAAAAATGTCATCTACTACCGGGTAGATGACTAAAACTGGCATCTACTACCGGTAAATGACTAAAACTGACATCTAAACCAGGGTATATGACCTAAAATGCCATATAATTTAGGGTAGATGACTAAAACTGAAATCTACTCAAGATCAAAATTGACATCTACTCCAAAGTAGAGGACCAAAAATGACTTCTACCACCAGGTACTTGATTTAAAATGTCATCTACTACCGGGTAGATGATTAAAACTAAGATATACTAAAGGGTAGATGACCAAAAATGTCATGTACTACAGGGTAGATGACTAAAACTTACATCTACACTAGGGTAAATGACCTAAAATGACATCTACTCCAGGTAAGATGACTGAAAATGAAATCTACTCCAGGTTAGATAACTGAAAATGTCATATTTGCTTCAGTAGATGAAAAAACATTTCATCTTCTGTAGATTAGATGTCATTAACCGACATCTACTCTTAAGTAAATGACAAAAAATTACATCTACCCCATGGTAGATGAACAAAACTTACATCTACTCCAAAGTAGATGACCAAATATGACATCTACTAATGGTAGATGACGAAAAATAACATCTACTTCGGGGTAGATGACTAAAACTTACATCTACACCAGGGCGGATGACCTAAAATGACATCTACTCCAGGTTAGATGACTGAAATTGACATCTACTCCTGCTTAAATGACTGAAAATGTCAAATTTTCTTCAGTAAATGAACAAAAATTTCATCTACTGTAGATTAGATGTCACAAACCGACATCTACTCATTAGTAGTAAGTAATCTACCCTACAATAGGTGATCAAAACTGCCATTTAACTCATAATAGATGATTAAAATGGCATCTACTCTAGAGTAGACGACAAAAAATTTCCATCTACCCCAAGGTAGATGACCAAAACTTACTTCTACTCTGGGGTAGATGATCAAGAGCGACATCTACTCTAAAGTGGAGGACCAAAAATTACATCTACTACCGGGTATATGATATAAAATGTCGTCTACTACCGGGTAGATGATTAAAACTGACATCTACACCAGGGCAGATGACCTAAAATGTCATCGAATTCAAGGTAGATGACTGAAGATGACATCTACTCCAGGTTAAATGACTTAAAATGACCAATTTTCTTCAGTAGATGAAGAAAAATGTCATCTACTCGGGAGTAGATGTCACAAAACCGACATCTACTCTTTAGTAAATGACAAAGAACATAATCTACTCTGCAATAGATGATCAAAACTGCCATTAAAATCATAATATATGACAAAAAATTCCATATACCCCAGGGTAGATGACCAAAACTGACATCTATACCCAGGTAGATGGCATCTAATTCAGGATAGATGACTGAAAATGACATCTACTGCAGGTTAGATGACTTAAAATGTCAAATTTTCTTCAGTAGATGACCAAAATTTTTCATCTACTCTGGAGTAGATGTCACAAAACCGACATCTACTCTTTAGTGGATGACAAAGAACGTAATCTACTCTTCAATAAGTTATCAAAACTGCCATTAAGCCCATAATAGATCAACAAAAATGACATCTACTCTTTAGTAGATGTTGGAAAAATTTATAAAGTCTATAGTTCAGGACCTATTATCATCTACTCCAAACATATCATATATACCCTGAAGTGGATAAGCCAAAATTTAATTTTTTTTTATTTTAGATTGTCATAAAAATGTCATCTACTTGATAATATATGACTCAAAATGGCATATACTTGGCAGCAGGATAATAAAAACGCCATCTACTTCTTAGTAGATGGCCAATAATATCATCTACTCTAAGGTACATTGCTTCAAATGTTATCTACACTATTCAAGATTAGCATCTATGTCATCTACTTGATTGTAGTTTCAAAAAAATTTCATGTTCTCCGCAGTAGAAGTCGTCTACTCCACTGTAGATGTTCAAAAATTCCCTATACTCTAGAGTATATGGCCAGAGATGTTTGTCTTCGTTCCGCTACATGATTCAAAATTACATCTACTCCGCATCTATTCCATAATGAATGGGCAAAAATATCAACTACTTTTGAAAATAAGTCCCGAAATGTCATCTACTCCATTCTTGATTATCACTCTTGCCATCTATTCGAAAGCAATTTAACAAAATTTCCAAATTCTCCGTAGTAGACCATCTACTCTTGAGTATATGATCCATTATTTAGATTATCATTCATTTCAGATTATCATCATCCATGTCATCTTCTCTCTGGTTAACACAGATGTCATCTATTCCATAGTAGGTGGCCGAAAAAAATCATCTACTCTAGGGGATATCACCCTAAATGTCATCTACGCTAGGATAGATGTCACAAAAATACATCTATTTTATTTAAGGTTATCATCAATGACATCTACTCCACAGTAGATGAACAAAAAATGTCATCTACTCTTCAAATTTTCCCAAAAACCTCAGCTACTTCGCACAAAAAATCTACGGTTTGTGGAGCAAATTACACCCCCCCCCCCCCCTCTTCTTGTTTGAATTTCCTTCCCTACATCCTCTTCACACAATTCACAAGCAACAAACTTCTAATTAATAGAACAAAAAACAACAACAAAAATTATTATCATTTTTCACACATTCATCACAGAGCGGAAAAGAAGCAGCAACAACAACACCAACAATGTATTTCATGTCAACGCTTAAAAATTTACAACAAACATATTTTTTCACGGTTCTTTCATTTCGCGAAAGTCACGATTTTTTTCAATTTGCATTAATAAAAGAAAATTGTGCATTGTTGTAATCTGTAAAACCGAAACTAGAACGAACATCGTCTTTCCGAAAAGATGGAGAGGAGGGGAGCTGTGGAAAACTGCATTTGCCAAAATCAAAAAAAGTAGCAGAAAACCAAAAACTGACAAGAAAATTAGATTTTTAGCACTTACTTGATGTAGATGGGCGACATGTAGGGTTCACGTGGATGTGGATGTTGTTGTTGTTGCATGTTTTTCATTTGTTGTTATAAGTTTTTTTTTTTTTCTGGGCATGCACAAGTTATTTTTTCTCCTTTGATTTTGTCTTCTTTTTTGGGACACACTTGTGCATTCATCACTCACTCAATAAAATTTAGACACGGAATTTATTTTTGGAAATTAGCAAAACATGGGACGATCGGCAGGCCGGATGCCCAGCCACAAAAACCACTTGAATTTTTAGAATTTGTAAAAAAATATAAAATCCGTTTTTTCCTTAGGCATGACAAAGCCTCTGGTCAGTGGTCAGTTAATTTGTCATTCAATATCCAGTTAAAAGTAAAAAAAAAAAGGTTGGGGGGACAAGTTGGCAGGACAACCAAAATAGTTTGCCATGGTAACCCCCATTGCCCTGGTAAAAGGAAAACCACCAAAAGGATGGCAAGGAAACACCATGGCCAACTACAAAAATCTAAACAAACAAATGTGGGTTAAATGCAAATTTTGCTGAGCAACAAGTTTTTTTGGAAGAGAAGAAAAAAAAAACGCTCAGACAAAAACCAGAAATTGTGCGAAATTGAATCTGACATTCCTATTCATTGTTGTATTGAATTCAGTTGAGTGAAAAAAATTGGTTTATGCGTAGGTTGCGGTAATTGAATTATGAGAATTATTTCATTTCGGTTTTTTTTTTTTTTTGCTTTTCACAGACTCATAATTATAGGAAGCACGACGTCTTCTTATGTGCCGGGTATGTGGGTAGTTTCAAATTTTTTTCTGAATGAGACAACAGTGGGAAAATTGGGGCGGGGAAATGTATTCAAATTTAGGATTTAAATTAGTATTTAGACGTGAAAAATTAAAACAAAATTAAATATGTTTTATAGTAGATTTTGAAAATTATTTTCAAATCTATAGTAGATGCAGTAGATGAAAAAACATCATATTATCTGAAGAAGAAGACCAGAATGTCATATATTTTTTAATTGATTATCAAGAAATGTGTATCTAACCTGTAGTAGATGAAAACAGTGGCATCTAATCAACAGTAGGTGACCAAAAATGACATCTACTCTACAGTAGATGATTACAATAATCATAAAGTACGCATTAGATGTATTGAAATCTACATCTACTTCATGGTAGACAAACTAAAATCACATCTACTACTTCGTAGATGAGCCAAAACAGCCAGTAGATG